AAATAAAGAAGAAATATATCCCACCCCATAAGGAATGAGAAACGTGACACAACCAAATAGCAATAATGCGTCATATTAATACCAAAGTAACGAAATAAAAGCCAGGGTCTAATAATAAAGACAACAACATTACATGTTTACAATAACACGGCATTTAATAGATAGCAGCCGAAACCAAGAGATATATCGCTATAGAAGAAACGATAGGATAAGACAAACAAACAAACAACAATCGATAAAACAACAAACTGATGAGGCATACATTTATTGAGAGTAAATTTCTTCCGATGCAGAATACTAGCCCCCGGAGATTACCACTGCCAGCTTAAGCGTTATTGAAATATTCTTCTTCATCAAATATTTACACGACTTATAGTAAAGTGACACAAAGAAATCCAATAAAATTTGAAAGTATGACTGGAAAAAATCAGTGCACTGCTATAAAAAACTATCAGTATTAACAAGAACAGTTTTTAAAAATCAAAATCATTGATAACTTCTCCAAATACTGAGTAACGATATCATCAGCTCACAAGCACTACACATTTAAGCAGAAGAAAAAGAATTACAAGAAGACCTGGGCCTAGCCTAAAATCCTTCCCCCCAACGCGAACAATTACTTGCAGAGGAATAAATGGATGACTAAACCCATAACAAAACGTAAACTTTTACATGTATAAATACAAGTATGCGAACCATTTCATGGCAAATAGATCACATTTTTCAGACGAATTCCCAAACCTTTTCAAATTCTGCTACAAAGTAACGTTTTTAGCTTCATACGGAAAACCGTAAAGATCAACTCACCAGCCCCTCTTACTGAAAATTGCTACCCTCAAAAAACTACAAAATATCGCTTCTTTTAAAAATATGGCCTAATTTGAAAAGTTCCAATTTATTCCACACTCCACAAATTAAATGCTTTTGGACTGTTTTGAAAAATACCCCCTTCGCTTCTTGAATAAAATTTCAATTTTTCGTAATAAATCATACGCATAATACAAAAATATCCATTTCAAAACAGGGTAGAAAAGCAATAAGCCTTCAAGGTACCGTCACACAACGACAATTCATGTAAAATCTCTTCCTTGTAAAAAGCAAGAAATTCTAAGATCGCACATCGGTGGACGGTTGAATTACAAAGAAAATGAGCTGGGATCATGAGAACTGCACGGTAACTCTTCGTCGCGAGCAATTCGATTTTTCAAAAACATGCAAGCAGAAATCTCTTTCTTGAATGTAATTTTCACGACCTCAGCTCTTTTTTCTTCCCAAAACTTACTTATCTGTCAATGACTCATCTTAAAAAATATTTTATACTGACGAGTAAAGATTTCCACATTAAATTTCTCAACATCATTTTTACCTCATTTAAAAAGTTATATCGCGCATTTCTGTAATTAACGAAGGAGTAAATATTCTAAAAACTTCCAAAACGCAGAAAAAAGGCCTTTTTAAAATCGCTTAAAAATTTTACGAGAAGTGGAACAAGTTAAAATCTTTCAACGTAGGTCATATTTGATCAAAGAATGCATTCTTCAAGAGATTTGAAAGCCCAGTTTCGACCAAAAAAATCCAGTGATACGGTCTCTTCAACCCTACGTACGTATAAACTCTATCACTAAGGAAATTTCAGAAAATTTTAAAGGACTGGTTACAAAAATTCCATATGATGAGGAATGTCCCATACACACACACACACGCAACAGCAACAAAAAAGACTAATTCAAAATTGAACAACCCGGAAATGAAAAGAACTCTATAAAGACAAAGGTAAAACGTAGAAATGTTAGGCTTACACTTTGATATGCGAATCAGACCCCCCAATCAACGAATTATCCTTAAACCAATCCGTGACTGAGCTAACGCCATTTTGCTTCGACAACATATAAGAGCAGTTCAGCCTCACCCTTCCATTAACAGCAAAAGTGTCGGAAGGTTCGGAAAGGAAACGGAATTTCAGGAATCGTTCTTCTACAAAAAAGCACAATATGAACAAACACAAAATTCGATATTATTCAAATTTTTTTTTGTACCTCATTAGAAATGAAGAACTTGACAAAAACAAACGTACTAGTAAACGGTATATAGAGAAAAGAAAGAGAGAAACAAGAACGATAAAATTACCCATACATTTGTACCTATGCAACACTCTTCAGAGGCAAACCCAATTAACAAAATAAAATTCAAGCTCAGAGGCTTTCATTCTCAATAACTTATCAAAATGAATACTAGCTGAACACAATTCGAGGTCAAAAAATATATGGCTAAATACTTAGTTGTGAGCTCAAATGCAAGATGAGGTAGAAAATAAAGATATTAACACTTAGTATTCCTGCCATTATAAAATTTAGTATTTCGATTTGGGCATACTCATACCGAAAGTTCACAATTCCGATCACCTCTCATTGTAGCATTCTATCAGAAACGCCCATAACAAACATCGTAGAGCAAAGCAGAGCTGTAGTTTCGAGAGAAAAGCTGACAAAAATAAGCTGAAGTATGATGAGCAAAGAGCAGATTACACAAAACCTCCAGCTTTTGTAATTGAAAAAGCAATTAGGGGGTGGCGTCACTCTTCAAGCACTTAACATGGAATACCAGAGTTCTACTAGAAAAAGCAGGAAAAAAAGCTACTAAAAACTGCGGTAACAAATGATAATGAGCGGATAATTCAAATACCGTGAAGTGTTGAAACTCGTCGACGACGAAGTTTATGGTTACGACGAATATTTCCGCTTCGAATACCATTTACCTCATAGATAATCGTCAATAAGATTAAAAATACAACGAAAATCACTTCCAGTTTTCCTGAAAGATGAAACCGCCCAATTCAACATAACAAAATAAGCACAAAAATTTATTAGCTAAAAAGAAAAATAATATACCTAAAGATGCCATGCAAGAGTAGTAGTTCTAAGTTGGGATTAATTGGCAGAAACGGAATAAGGGCATTCAAATATTAATAACAATGGTAGAGCAATACTCCAAATACATGCCGCATAATTAAAGGTCCTGAAAAACTGAAACTAATAATAACAAGAAAAAAAAAAAATCGAAAAACACCGCATAAGGAAACAAAATAAAAAGACATGTGAGCCAGTTAAAACAAATGAAAATAGATGCAAATAAAAGAGAAAGATGTAAAGGCAATTCAAATAACTCTTTAAGAATATCAACTTGTGGATGGAACAAGTCGAATATGCAGATACCAAAGAAAGGCGAAGAAAAGCAATTGAAGTAGGACATAAAATATGGCACAGCTAGATCTATTGTTCTGATCTGCTGCTGCTGCTGCTGCT